GAGAGAGAGAGAGAGAGGGAGGAGAGAGAGAGAGAGAGAGAGAGAGAGAGAGAGAGCAAGAAAGAGGAGAGAGGTGTGCGCGAGAGGCGAGAGAATGAGCTGGAACGAGAGAAAGCGAGAGACAGGAAGAAAGATAGAGACATAGAGTGTAAGAGCTAGTGAAAAAGAAAGAGAGCGAGATAGAAAGAGAGAGATAGCGCGAGAGAGAGTGAGCGAGAGACCTACCCTCCATGGCTCCACCCCAACAGCTTCCTCATCACTCTTATTCCCCATCGAATTCGTGGACACTGAAAAATGAGCCATTTTCACGAATGTGTGAGTGAAAAGCTACAAAAAACCAACGGCCGAAGCTTAGGCTTAGGCTTAGGCAGGTGAAAGCCCCCTAAAAATCACCTGACTGCGGCATGCGACCATAGACGCTGTCCGGTTTCCCGGGGATCGGAGCGCTGGGCCGGGGCATATTTCGGAGGTGCATCTGGTTGAGCTGGTGGGTGGGAGGCTCTTCTTGGATGGGTCTGGAAAACGGGATTGTAAATTTAGAATTTCCTTAAAGCAGCACTTTCAGCAGCGCCGGTTTTCCATGAAACGTGGAAAAATTTGCAGGTATTTCCGGTTAGAGGGCGAGCCCTGATGAGAGGCGCAGACGTTACGCATGCAAATTTTTCCACGATGCATTCGTGGAAAAACGGAGCTGCTGAAAGTGTCCCTTTGAAGGGATTTAGATCACCAGAATTCAACCCATCCATCGACCAGGTCTAGACAACCACGCGACATTCCAGTATAATCCCCCGAGTAACTTGAAGTCGCCAGCGGGAGAGACCAAGATCGACCAGTATTATCGCGTTTAACGTGGTTGTCTAGACCCAGCCGATGGATAGGGTCGATTCTGCGGCTTTCGAGTCCCTTTAATACGCCATTTTCTCCTACATGGACCTGTAAATGAATGCGCAAGGCATTACTATCCATAACCAGAGCATCCTTATAGAACAGGTGCAACCGGCTCCTCTTACCCCAGCTTCCGGCCACGCTGAACCGACTCGTAGGGCTCAACGTTCATGATTTTTGGAGGGTTCGATGATGAAGCCAGGGCGGAAGGAAGAATGGCAGAATTCAGGCCAAAAACGGGGCAAAACCGAGGGCAAGAAATGGCAAAAAGCGGACGTTTTGGCAATCCGAAAGGGTCGGTAACCTCGGCAACTACCTGAGTTTTTGCCAATTTTTGAATCCCTAGGGAATTTTGATTAGCATAGCAACCTTAGATGTTTTTAATATGAGCAAATTTAAGCGGGAGAACCTGTAAATTCCCTGGGGAATGCTCGTTAGCAAAATCGTCAGATTTGCAACCAAAAACTCAAAAACTCAAAAATCAAGGCAGCCGGGTTTTTCCCATTCAAATCCACGACGACAGGGATATCCGAGATCACGGATAGTTTCCAAAAAAAACGCAATGAAAACAAAGGTAAGAAAAAATGTCAAACGCTACTTACTTTCCATTAGTCGCAGCTGCCCCTCGTTCCGGTGGTGGCGTCATCCCGCGGACTGTGATGAAAGTTGGACCAACCGTGTCAGGATCGGGACTGAAATAGAGGTGATTAACGGTATCATCCGCAAGCTAAACGTACAAAAGCAGAAGTTATTAAGGTATCTAAAACCAATCAATGACCAAAACTTACTTGTAAGAAAGTGGTCCATCGTATCCAACACTGACTGGTTCGCCGACGATGCCTCTGAAATCAACTTCTTCTCAAACTAATCGTTTATATAAAGTTTCATGCCATACATACATATTTATATAATATTTACAACGTTTATTAGCGGGTTTGAAGACAGTTTAACGTGTTAAATTCAGCCGCTTACCTCATGGAAGCCGTAACCGGACGAGCAATCGAACTCGGCAAATTGCTGGTTCGAATTCCGGATGATGCAAGCCGTTTTTGTCGTTGTTTCTCTTCGAGGAGTTTGCGCTAAATGAAAATATAGTTTTTGAATGTAACACTAGCTGAACACTGCCTATTTTCTTAGGATAAAAGCTGTTCTAGAAAATTTGACCGACCTGGCGCTGCAAATTGTCCTGCACCCAGTCCTGGTTCTTCGTTTCGTCTCCCATTTTTGGTCTAAAGGAATGCCATCATAGTAGACACCAAAATTATAGCCAAACCATCATTTGAAAATTTGGAACAAAAATAAATTGTAAGGAATTTCAATCGACGGGACAACGATAACAAAGGAAAACACATGGCAATGAAACACAAATGGGAACCTGATTGGCCGCGCCTGTTTTGCCCCTGTTTTCGTATGGTCGTCTCAAAATAAAGGTGAATTACACAAGAATAGTCAGATTATGTCCAGCGTTAAAGGGATGCCGACGGCATCGTCAATCGGTTACGCGCTGGAAAGATAATGTCTCTGCGCCTCTCCCCAGGCGCGCTCTCTGCCCTGTTGGCTACTTGCCAATTTGTTGATGAGGAGGGATCGACACATGCCGTCGGCAGCCCTTTAAAACAGGGAAGCATACAGGGAAGCTGAAATTGCTGCTTTAACAAGTCAAAATCACAGATTTCGGAGCAAGTCGAAGTGCTTTTAAAAAGAACGTTTGAAAGGAAAGAATTAAAGGCTGGTTTTGACAGCATTACGACAAAATATAGAGCAAAACCGAAGTCTTAAACTGGTAATACACGTACCCAGATTCTGGGAGATGATAGGAAAATCGTAGCAAGCCGGAAAAGCTACTAACAGTATGCAGAGCCCAAAAAATAATTGTGCATGTGCGCATTTTGCTCAACCAATCCTTTATTTTAAAACCATGGCAAAAATGCGACCAATTTCCCCACAAACGCGTTCACTATTTTCTTCAGTCTCCGGCCACGCTTGCAGACGTCGAAAAAACACAAAATAAGGCTGATTTCCTGAGCAAAAAAGCAACAACTCTCTAAAAAATACAATAATTCGTGGGGCGACTTCCCCTACCACAAATATGCTCAAAAACAATTAAAACGGAGCAAAAAGCAAAAATCTGGCTAATTGCGAGGGCAGAAAAAGTATATGTAACTCTGAAAAAGATCGACCAATTCGTGGCTCTAAGCTTGCGCAAATCCATATTCGGAAAACTGTCTAAAAACTGATTTAAAAAACCATTAAAAAAGCACTAATTTCCGGGGTAAATGTTCCGCCTCGAGGGAAGCCCCCAGGGGCATGCAGGTGTGGTCAGCCGGCCGCCGCGGGCCGAGAATTCTAAGGGATAGGATTTTCTTCCCGGGGCTCCCGTCCCTCCGTGGCACACGCTGATTTCCATGGCAACCGTAGTCCGGGGATGTATTGGGAACGGCCATATAGACTCGCCAAAAGTGGAGAGGGTCCCGCAACGAAAGGGCACAATAAATGGGATTATCTGTGTGTGGAGGGCTAGTGAAATTTGGCTTATTGACATCCGAAGGTACTACGGGTTGATGAAAATCGATACCTAAATGAAAATAAAGTAAAATCGCTTCAAAGCTTTTTAAAAGAAGCTCGAAAAATCTCTCAATTTTATGAAATCGGTCCACGTTATAGCAGGGTTTGTTGCCTAAAGCGTGGATAGATCCCACTCGGGGGAATAGGGTCTGTCCTTGCCCTCTCCCATCGGCCGGTTGGTTTTGCGTTCGCTCGCCGCGCACAAGGCCCTGGTTCGAGCCCCGGCCGAGACAATTCCTTTTTGCTTTTTCATCAAAAACTAGGAATTGAATGTTTCTTTGAATTCCAGTGAATCTAACGTGAAAAAACGCGATACTTGTAATGGCGGAAATGACGCAATAAATAGGATTTCCTGTCGCCGCCGTTGCCCTTGAAATTTATATCATTGTCAATTGGGGGTGACGCGTTTATGAAAATCGACACCTGAAGCTCGAAAACGCTTCTGCCGAAACTTTAAAAAAATAGAAAACGCTAGATAAACTTACTACTTACAACTAACTTCTACTAGCTTTTGACAACAAACCAAAACGTCCAATTGACATGAAAAAAGTATGCAGCATAAAATAAATTTGTAAATTTGTAAAATACATCGTAAAATTTGACATGTTTTCAGGTGTCTCACGATACAAATAAATCTCCGTAGTTCGTGAAGTGAACTCGCTTTTGATAGGCTCCGATGTACCAATTCCCGGAATGGCCAAATACTACTAATCCTGAAATTTCGTCAAAAGTCGCTAATGAGGGATGTGTGTAAATAGGTGTTGTGCGTAGTGCTAAATCCGTCTATATCTATTTTGACTGTTCCGCTTCACGTAATTTACTTTCGAAGGCGTTCTATACACCGACATACGCAAGTTTACCGTCCAAAATCCTCAAAAGGCCTAATTTTCCGAAGATTCGGTATAGACATCAGCTAGTAAGGGAAATTTTTGCCGTTAAAGAACTACTAAACTATCAATCTTGAGTACAATGAAAATGACGGTTGTTGGAAAGTTGCCATGGGGATTGTCTAGCTAAAATTTTTGGGAGGAAGCCGGCGGTCGGCCTGTTTATAACTGGCCGGAGCAGGTGAATTTTGAAGAAAACTGGGTAGCCCTACGAGGGGGATTAGGGCCGTCAAGTAATATGCGGCTTGTTGTCGGTGATTGGGAACCCATTTATTAAATCAATCGGGTACACGAGAAAACGTAGACTAATGGAATTTGGCGGGTTAGTCAGCGATCAAAAGCAAAAAGCAAAGCAAAAAATGTGACTGAAACGCACCCGGGCGATCTGAAAAAACTCGCATCATGGCCGGATTACACGATGTAACGACTTTTCTGAGGGTTAAATTTTTCTAATACATATAGAGGAAGTCGTTTTCAACCATTTATTACTTCCAAACGTAAAAAACTACAAGTTTCGATTTTAAAAAATGCAAAAATGGCTTAAGTGCAGTTTACCCCGCCAGAGCCGACCCCCACCTACCCCGTGTCTCCGCTCCCTTTTCATCTACAGGTGTGTAAAGTATACGAAAATACTCGCCAGGGCAAGACGAACATTTTGGTATGCTTTACATACCTGTAGATGAACAGGGAGCCGATATACAAAAGTTGGATGCCGGCTGAGGGGGGGGGGGGAGGTAAATTGCACTCTAACCCAAAAAAAATATCGGTTTTTCGATCAAAACTGACCGACTTCGACCAAAACTTCAACCAAAATTGTTGCTAGGTTTTAGATAGGTTTTCCACTTCAAATATAGTTAAATTTTAGTAAAAACATTATTAAAAGAATTGCTAGTACTAGGATCATGATTTTACGGTTTGAACGACGTGTGTTTTGAAGTTTTACGTACTTGTCTAGCCCTAGTGGTCGACTTCTCGCACTCACTAGCCCGTCGAAGCGTGTTATTCCCTAAGAAGTCGACATTTTCTATGTTTTTCTATAGCTAGCCATTCTCCACAGCATATTTATTCACATCTCACTTCATCATCATCAGCAAATCCAAGACAAAAAATCCAAAAATGGGGTCATGAAGAATCGACAAGTTGTCACAATTGGAAGGAGCCATCAAAAAATCTAGTTTTCTTTTAATTAGTTATTTTTGAAAACCTCGAAATTACATCAAAAAGACTAGTGAAAATATTTGTTACAAAACTAGGGTAATTTGTGATCATCATAGGGTACATTAAAAGGGTTGTAAAGCTTCAGAATTTAAACCAAGTATAATAAGTTTGAATTTCACAAGAAAATACCGAAATCACAATACGAACAATTGTAAATTGAAGCGTAAATAGTCATATTTTGTATATTTAAAGTTGGCTACACGTTGGGGCGTAAAAGCATAGACTATTCGTTAATTACGATGCTTAAAATATGCAAATTAGCTTTTTAAGGCTGGGCACTGGCTCCTAGAATTGAATTGCGTATTGCGTTAGAGGAAATGGTCGTCATTTTTAAGCAAATAGAGCACTAATAAACGGGATTAAGGTTAAGATTTTTCTAGTGGTTTATTCCTCCATCTTGATGCGCTTCTCCGGGGGGCTCATCTCGGCCGAGATCGTCGACTCCGAGGCGTTCAGCCGCATGTCGATCGGGCTGCCGGCGAGCTAAAGAGCAAGGATATTAATACTTTTACAAAAAAAATAATACTATTCCATATTTTCCAAATTTAATAAGTTGGGAAACTTTTTATTGGCGTAGTGCTTGTGTAGTTTTCAAAGTAGTGCTTTTTTTGATTGTAAGCGGATGTTCGGGACACCTAGTTCTCTCTCACGCTCTCTCTCTCTCTCTCTCTCTCGCTCTCTTTCTCTCTCGCCCTCTCTCTCACTCTCTTTTTATCCCTCTTTTTAGCTCTGCCCTCTGCAAAAATCACCGGAAACAATACACGGAAATGAGCTACGGAACCTTCAAAATGGGCCCCCATGGCCCAATTTGCCGTAAATACGCTGGACTCCAAAAAACTATGTTATGTTGTTTTTTTGGATTTTATTTATGCTAGAAATTTTAAAAAATGACCCACCGTAGCCGGGATGAGGACCTGATTCGGGACTGAGGTCATCTGATCGAAGCACTGCTGACAACGGGGGTGCTCGAAGGAGGACGCCACGATGCAGTAGTCGGTTTCGCGCTGAAAAATCAAAAATACAGTATAAATTGATTTAAAAAATAGTGGTTTAACTAGACACCAATCGCTTCGCAACCAAACCAAAAAAAATACCGAGCATATCGAGCACCGCATCGCCTCGCCATTGTTGCCCTTCGAGTCCGGGGAGCTGAGGGTTTCCGACTAAAAAAGGAGAAAATAAATGGATATTACATCGTGGGTCTTTTTAATAAAATTTGGAGATTTTTTAAATCGTTAATATACGTTTTTATACTAATCAACCGCTTAAAATGGTGAAATTCGGATAGAAAAATTTTTTATGAGTTGTATTCAGTAATTTTTAGCATGGAAATTCCGTGAGCGAGTTGAAAAAGCTCCTAATCATGTGAATAGGATTTTTTTTCATTTTTCCAAGTCCCTCCTAAGCCATTTCCGACCTAATCTTTGTTTACCAAATCGACTCGTCACGACTCCCAACAGAGCCCCCCACCAATACGACCCAATTTTACAACCAATTTCGCGCGCCTCCGCCACCAGCCCCAAAATGGACAGCAGGGGGTGATTGAGGGGCCCAGATGTAGCCCCGGGATATGGCTGGTTGTTCCAGTAAATAGTTGCAGATCCTAGAGAGACTAAGTCGGAGCTGTCTGTCTCCTTGCCCTGTCATTTTCAGCTCGTCTGGCGATACTATTACAACCCTTAAAAAGCACAGGATCCACAACGGACCCTTCGATCCGCTAGGTCTAGACAACTACGTATCACGTCAAAAGACGTGTTCCATCCGATACGGAAGCCAGGGCCTGATGGCTGTCTGTCTAGACCTAGCAGCCGTAAGCGATTGATTCCCACCTTTCTTAGTCCCTTTAAAACCGCGTTTCATCCGTTTGCAGCCGAAACACCAAATTTTTGCTCACCTGTCGGCTAAACGGGGTCAGGGTATCCCGGATCGACGTCGATGGCATCATCGCTCGTTTTACTAAAAAAATAAAAAGTTTAGGGCAAAGTGAGAGAAAAAGCGAGAGAAAGCGGGAGAGATAGAGATAGAGATCGATGCGATAGAATCGCTCACACAGCCAAAAACTCACGTGAAAGCCGCTTCAACTGGTTAGCCCGGACTCGAGCCAGCTCATTTTCGCGTTTCCTCCTAGCCAAGGTCCCCGGGCTTTGCGCAGCTTCCACACCGCATGGTTGCTGCACTTTGGCGCTGAAAAAATGCTATATTAGCGAGAGAGAGAGGGAGAGAGTGAGAGAGAGAGAAAAGAGAGCGAGATAGACCAAACCTGATAATGGAGTCTCTGATCCGGGTCTTCTCCAGCTCGACGTGATCGGCCCACTCGGCTTCTGGGAGCTTTTCGGAGCAAATTGGGCAAATCGGGCAGCCGTCGTCGTCGATTTGGAGTTCTGGAAAAATCAAATTTGAGCAAATTAGCCTTCAAAAAGATTTTTTTTAAGAAACCAGGGAATCCAAAAACCGACCCTTTCAGTCTCTAGGTCTAGACGGCTACCGGACGCACGAAAATACGGGCTAAACTGCTCGGAACATGCTATTAAAAAGCGACTGGCACGTATTTTGGTGTGTCACGTAGCTGTCTAGACCCAGTCAACTAACAGGGTTGATTTTACAATTTGCTAGTCCCTTTAAAACAATTCCATAGACTCCTAATTACTCCTCACCCCCCTACCAGTCCACTTTCCCACCCCTGACTCCAAGAGATTGATTCCTTCAATGGCCCTTTAGAGCCTCTAAAGCTCGGCCCGGTCAAAAGGCCGAATTTGGGGCGACATCTGGAACCATTTACACCATCTCTATCTCTCTCTCTCTCCCCTTCTCTCCTTCTCTCTCGCCTCTCGGGGAGACGCTGTTTACTCAATTTGCTCCTACAAAAGATTTACAGTCGCCCGGTCTCCCCTCGGCCCTTTATGCTAATTTTTATGACTCGAAGCCAGGGGAGCAGCTCGTGCTCCCCCCACTGCTTCAAAGGGTCCCCTCCCTAGGTTTCCTCCCAATCGGGTAGTGGAGCACATTTAGCCCGAACCTAACGATGACCTTCTGTCATTGGTGAGAGCGAGCGAGAGAGAGAGAGAGTGAGAGAGATAGGGAGAGAGAGAGAAAGATTCGAACGGTTACTAATGGATTTGAATGGATGTAATCTGTTTATAGTTCACTGCCGGAATTTCCACGGGAATCGGGGCAGGCTAGCAGAGATCATTTGGGAATGGAAGGGGCAGGCCAGCAGATATCATTTGGGAATGGAAGGGGCAGGCCAGCAGAGATAATTTTGGATTGGAAGGGCAACGATTCTTTGAGGGACCGACCATTTTCGATTATTTTCTAACCCCCAATCCATAGTACTGGCTCGTAACTCCTCCTCTAGCCAACTTTCTAGATGGCGCACATTCAATTCTTCTCCCTTCTTGCTCCTCGGAGGCAATAAATGGAGCGCTGTCCTCCCTCATGGGTCGAGAAGAAGAATGAATGGAGAGCTGTTGTAGTGTTTGATTAAGCCATCGTCTTTCTCATTCTCTCCCTCGCTCTCGCTCTCTCTCTCTCTCTCTCTCTCTCTCTCTCTCTCTTTTCTCTCTCTGTCTCAAAATACCGTACTCCGCTCACGAGACAGGCACTTTTACTGCATTTCTCGAGCGCTGTAAGCAGTCGTAAATTGACGCCAGGGGACCGGGGGTGGAATTGCGCAACTATTCAATGGCTTTCTTAGGGTCAAATGATCATCACCAGGCTAGTGGGATGAGGCTTAATTTGTTCGACTGGGCTGTGGAATGGGCTATAAAGTGGGGACAAGAGGAGACAATAGAAAAGAGGAGGAAAGGTACAAATCGGCTGTGCAAAAAAAAATGGGGCTTCGTGGCTGTAAAAGGACTGGCAAGTCATGGAGTCCTATGAATTTTGGCGGTCATATGACGAATCGAGGCTGTTTAATGGCGTAATGGCTCGTGCTCAAATTGTTTTTTTAGGAATTTTCCCCTTTAAGCTCCTTTTAAAAAACGGCGAGTCGGTACCGCGCGCTAAAAAGCAGTCTACCATTCCCTTGCCACTTCTCAAAGGGCCAGAAAGTCCAATCCACAGTTCAAAACCCTCTGCCTTCCAAGTTCCTTTAAAACTACTGGTTATCTCAATTATCCCCAATAATCTCCGCTATTATCTAGTCAGATGGTCGGTGCGTTTGGGGGTGGCAATTAATCATGTCTCGTATTTGGTGGGCCACCGTTCTCGACTGGCCCATCCCAATAAATCTGCCTTCCTCCTCGGGGCTACGCATCACTCCTTTTGAACGCACCGACAGTCCCCCTCCCTCTCACAAAGCCTTTTGCTACATTTGACACGATTTGTCAACACATCGCGACAGGACCGCCGCGGGGGAGGGGCACCCTTGGGATGGGTGATAATTGATGATGGGTCGGGTGGCTTGGGATGAGTTTTTTTTGTTTTGAGAGCTGCCGACAATCGAGAGAAGCTGTTGGTAATGTTATTAGGTAAATAATCTCTTTAATTAATGGTATAACGAGCTAAAAGTTAAAAAGTCAAAATTCGCAATTTTATTAAAAAATTGCTATAAAAACCCTTGACAACGGTGTTTTGTGTTTGGAAAATTTACAGGGTACAACACAGGTTTTAAAGGTACTCGGAAGCCATCTGGAATCAGATTTTCTCCAGTCTAGATTACGGTATTAAGGTAAGCTACTAGCGGCTACTTTCCTAGTTTTCCCTAGGCACATTCCGAATGGTTCCCACGCCCCAGCGTGAACCTTTTCCGAGACGAGTGGCAACCCGGGGGGCAAAAAGCAACATTTTGCCCTCGAACATTTCAGTTGCCTACCCACCCTATCCCCTAAAAAGGTTAGGGGGAGAGATTGGTGTTTTTGACACCTTCTCCTGTCTTCGGAGGTGAATAGCGTGAGAAAGTTTTCGAATCTAGAGTATCTAATCTAGTAGCTAACTCAAATTTTCTAGGTTACTGTAGCCCTGGAGGCCTATTTCCGGTCGAATTCCGGATCACAACTAATAACATCTTGCTGGAAGCACATTTTGTGGAAATTTACGCTGTTTGGAGGGGTATTCAGAATCAAAAAATCTAAAAATTCACAGCTAATACCTAAAGTTTGCCCTACTACTACAGCACTTTAGGCTAACAATTTCATATTCAAGTAAATGCAAGAAATACCTAAAATCTGTTTTAGTACTGTAGTCCTAGGTCCCTAGATTTGTCTAGATAATGCTAAAAATCATCAAAAATGGAAGGCCTAGAAGCAAACTTTGCAAATGAGTTCGAACTACCGTTCCATGATGTACTATGTCAATTTTCCGCAAGCCGTATTTCAGAAATTTAGCCCTTGTAACCGTAACCCGTTTCTTACGCGAATCCGCAAAAATCAACAATGCCAAAAATAGGGATTTTTGTGTAAAATTTAGAACACACGGTCAAGATTTTCTATTTTCTTCCTCTATTTTCTAAGATTCGCCCCAACTACCGTATCCCAATGTTCCCCTTATTCCATTTTCATCCCCTTTGCAGGCCAAGTGTTGTATGTATCCGCCGGAAAACCGTCAATAACTCAATTCTTTCCCCTTCCCCTGGCTTCTGAGGGGGTGAAGCGCAAACAGCCATAATTCAGGGTCAACACCCTGCCCGGGTGTGGCCCTTTTGGCCCTCCTCCTTTGGCTGGAGTCCCAGTCCACTAATAAAACAAGTGTGCCGAGGGGCCTCCTTCGGTGGGGGCCCTAATAGAATGGCGGCGCTTTTGTGGTTGGAAATCCCGGGGGAGCACGAGCTCCTTCCCGACAGCGCAGGGGCTAGACATAAAATGTGTCGGTCTAAGGGTTTTCGCGCACTAAAAAATGGGGTATATGGTGCAAATGATGCAAAATTCCGCAAAGAAACTTTGCTAGTTAGCTGAAAGTCCGGGTTTGAGTTTCCTATAGGAACTCTGCTAGCCTGCCCCTTCCATTCCCAAATGATCTCTGCTAGCCTGCCCCTTCCATTCCCAAATGATCTCTGCTAGCCTACCCCTTCCATTCCCGAATGATCTCTGCTAGCCTGCCCTTCCATTCCCAAATGATCTCTGCTAGCCTGCCCCTTCCGTTCCCGAATGATCTCTGCTAGCCTGCCCCTTCCATTCCCAAATGATCTCTGCTAGCCTGCCCCTTCCATTCCCGAATGATCTCTGCTAGCCTGCCCCTTCCATTCCCAAATGATCTCTGCTAGCCTACCCTTCCATTCCCAAATGATCTCTGCTAGCCTACCCCTTCCATTCCCGAATGATCTCTGCTAGCCTGCCCCTTCCATTCCCAAATGATCTCTGCTAGCCTGCCCTTCCATTCCCAAATGATCTCTGCTAGCCTGCCCCTTCCATTCCCAAATGATCTCTGCTAGCCTGCCCTTCCATTCCCGAATGATCTCTGCTAGCCTGCCGCTCACCCTTAAACCTGAGAGTTTCCCAAACAATTCCTGCCAGCCTGCCCATTCCCCCCTTTCCTAACACCCAATTATCTCCCCTCCCCCCGCCATTGAATTCTAGGTACCGGCTGGGTGTGGGAAGGGCAAGCTTGCAGAGACTACTCAAGATCCGCCACACACCCCATAAACACTCAAAGGGCAGTACAAAGGCGGTGGGCCCATGAGCGCATAATTTATGGCGCAACGTCTCAATCTGTCCCTATGCACTCGTTCTCGATCTCTCTCTCTCTCTCTCTCTCTCAGGGTATCTCTATCACACCCAGGCGACGAGTGAAGGTGGCGTAATCAGGGCGGCGCATCGTATCATAGCAAAAAAGGAGCGCGCCGATCGGAAAGCCAGATAATCCCATCGGCTCAATTTGCATCTGCCCATGATCGGGGAGCACTAAATGGAGTAGTAGCGAAAGAGAGAAAGAGAGAAAAGAGAGAGAGGAGAGAGAGAGAGAGAGAGAGAGCAGGTGGTTGCGGGTACGGTAGTTGTGCCATTGGATAGT